ACCCTGTCAGAGAGAAGGAAGCACATCCGCCCCACTCGTGGAAGGGGCCTCTTCTGGCCATGTCTCCTGCGGCGGATGCTGAGCCAGATGGGAACCAGCGAGACAGGCACGTCAGCAAGCTCATTTTCTTCCTCTTCGTCTTTGGCGCAGTCCTGCTGTGTGTGGGAGTCCTGCTCTCCATCTTCGGGTTCCAGGCATGCCAACACGAACCCCTCCCACACTGCAGCACGGTGCTGAAGGTTGCTGGGCCTTCGTGCGCGGTGATTGGGCTTGGGGCGGTGATCCTGGCCCGTTCCCGGGCTCGACTTCAGCTCCTGGAGGGGCGGCGTCAGGGCAGCCAGACAGACCCCGACAGAGCCTTCATCTGCGGAGAGAGCCGCCAGTTTGTCCAGTGCCTCATCTTTGGGTTTCTGTTCTTGACGAGCGGCATGCTCATCAGCATTCTGGGCATTTGGGTGCCTGGATGTGGCGCAGACTGGGGGCAGGAACCATTGAACGAGACGGACACTGGGGACAGCGAGCCCCAGATCTGTGGGCTCCTTTCTCTGCAGATCATGGGCCCCTTGATTGTGCTCGTGGGATTGTGCTTCTTCGTGGTTGCCCACATTAAGAAGAAAAACAACTTGAGTGCAGGCGGGGATGCCTCTGAAAATGAAGAGGGACAGACCCAAAGCACGGATCCTGTCCAGGTCACTGTAGGTGGGTGGCTGTCATTCCTGAATGGCTGACAGTGGCTGTCACATCCAGGCTTCGCTGGACTGCTCTTGGGTCTGGCCTACATTCTGTTGCTCACTTCCTCTCTCCCCATCCCTCTCCCTTTCTCTCACTCTCCTCTCCTCTGTCTCTCTCATTCACACATACACACCCCATCACACACGTACATGCTGCTGCTGCTGTAGCCCTGTAGGAATTCTAGTACACACATTTCCCTCCAGAAAATGCTCATTATGTAGCAGAAGCACTCAGACATTACGTAGTGACTTTGAGGCCACAGAGCATATGAGGAAGAAAGTGAAATGACCCATGAGGACAACGTTGGAGATTTCTTTTGCCTAAGAGACCCACGAGCGACCCTGCTTCCCCTGTTATTCTCACCCAGCCCTGTAGGAATCCTAGTACACACATTTCCCTCCAGAAAATGCTCATTATGTAGCAGAAGCACTCAGACATTACGTAGTGACTTTGAGGCCACAGAGCATATGAGGAAGAAAGTGAAATGACCCATGAGGACAACGTTGGAGATTTCTTTTGCCTAAGAGACCCACGAGCGACCCTGCTTCCCCTGTTATTCTCACCTTGACACCATGTAGCACTTTTAGTTGTGTGCCACTTGGGTTCTCCTCCCTGGCTGTCCTTGGTAAGTCCTTAACTTCTCCAATCTTAGTTTATGTGTCTCTGAAATGAGAATTGCATTTCCAACACTCCCTCCCCACTAGCCTTTTAGGATTCCGGTCTGCCCCAGGACCTTCAGTCATCTGCAGTTTTGAGGGGTTCCCTGACCTGTTTACTGCATAGTTCTCCATTTTCTGTAACTTGGGAGCAGAGACGGAGCTGGCATCGACAGCGATGGAGAGTGGCAGCACCTGCCCTTTCTTTCTCCTGTGGGATGCCTAGAAATTCCTTGGGGGCCCCTTGGGTTCTGCAAAGGAGATGGATGGCCGTTCTCAGAGTCAAGTCCCCTTAGAACAGCAGCAATTTCACACAGGAAAAACCGTATCGTGCTCATTTGTACACCACTTGTTTTCCAGCCTGCTATTTTTTAAAGGCTAAAGCTCTGAAACCACAGCCTTGACATTTAAAAGGCCAGGTAAGGGGAACGGCAGAGCTGAAATCTCAGAGCTAGAAGGAGAGGGACAAGGAAAGGCTTCTCTCGTTGGGAATCAGCAGCAGTCTCTGACTGTGGTTTGAAGGGTCTCACCAGCCTTGGACAGGAGAGGAAGGGCAAGTAGATTAATCGACATTCCGTGTTAAGCCAGGGTTGATGCTCCCAGTTTACTTATTTGTTCATTCGTAGTGACAATGCAAATATTAATTAAATATTAATAATAATATTTATAATTAATACTTATATGGGGTTTATTCTTGTTCCAAATCCCATTTAAGTGCTCTTAAAGGACCCACCATGTGAAACTCACCCATGCCTATGGCAATGAATTGAGGCAGTATTCTTGTTATTTCCATGTTAGATATGACGAAAATAAGGTACAGAAGTATCAAACAACTTGCCCAAGGTCCCAGACTAGCAAGTTGCAGAGTGGGGGCCAAACCCAGGTGGGTGGGCAGCATACAGTGCAGCCCTCGACAGCACCCCCCCCCCAGGGTACTGGGTGTAATTACGTGTCATCCTTCACCGAGTGTTTTGAGCGGTTATTACGTGA